TATGTTGGATATAAATCCTATATTTTAATGACACAGAGGTATTAGGAAATTTTCTGTTCCAGACAAGAAGGTGGTTGTGGATTTCATGGGGCTTGGGAGAAAACCAGGCTCATGCATCTTCATAAACCTGTAAGAAAAAGTAAATTCAATTATATCCATGCTATCTGGCCGGATTGTTTGGGAAGGAGCTGGCTAACATTCTGGTGAGCAAACATCTTGATTTACTTAAAGGATCATTTCTTGCAATGTCCTGGTATAGGGTTAGCCTTGATTTAGGACTAAAACGTAAGAACTGGTTCAGGATATAATTGCCATTAAGTCATTAAATAGCAGTGACCACAGTACAATTACAGGTTCAGCATCCTCAGGTGTGGAAGGCGCTGGACTGAAAATGAGTCTTGTGTTATAAAATATTGCAGGGGAGAAAATCAGAAAAAGAAAGTCCTTGGACTTGTCTAGGCAGCCCCATAGAACAGTTACAGATATCCGGGTTAGGCAGTGGTCTGTCATGAAGGAGCTTCACAGCTGAAGTGGAAATCAGTTATAAAGTAGAATAGTTTTAAAGGAAGGGACTTCTGGAGTCCAGCAAAACTCCATCAAAAGGCAGAAGTCCAACTCTTGCAAATTAGACGGAAAGAACCATGCTGTATGGCGGGTAACCCGTGGTCTGGAAATTAAGCAGTTTAACAGGGGTTTGAAGAGCTGGGGGCCTTAGGGAGCAAATGCTATCTTAAGTATATGAGAGAGAAGGCTGGAGAGAAAATCTGAGCGTGCGGGACTGAAGGCACGGTTAATTTTCTGACTGCATTGTTTTTGGAGCATAAGAGAGCCTGCCTATCTGTCACCTAGTGTTTTTGGATGGTAAAGATAAGGAGCCTTCCTCTGAAACTTGAGTGTGTGAGGCAGAAGTGCTGGAACAAAGTAGTAAATTCAAGTGGAAGAGCAACAGGTGTACGTAGGAGCTTTTAGAGGAGCTTGAAACTGAAATGCTAAAGTTACTAGCAAAAATAGGGCTGTTAAAAAATAGCTTAGTATTCTCCATGACTAGGTAACATCCTAATGTTGGATTATTATTTTTTTAATTAAAGTATTAAATGGGGCACTGGGAATTGCAGATCTGCAACCCTAAACTCCAGTTTGAGAAGGAGAAACTGAAGTGCTGTAAATCTTCAGTATGTGACAGATTGAAAGCAACATACTTTCTACAAAGAAAGGGGGTTGGACTAGGTGGTCTTTGAAGGTCCCTTCCAACCCAAACCATTCTGTGATTCTATGATCAATCTTGTTTTCTGGGTAATCTACCAGAATCTTTGAACATACTGACAAACAGTAGGAGGTGGAGAATCACCTGATCTTTATTTGCATGTTTTAAAAGGTTTATATCAAGTCCTTCCAAGAAGGTATTAAAAAATATGCTTGTAATGAGAAGAGAAATATCATGGAGTCCTTCTTTGGTTGCAGCCAATATTGATCACTTGGGCAGCACAAGGTAGACAGAATTCTATTTGGAGGTGGTGACTGAAGGCTTCCGGGTCTGCATCTTGAGTAGATCTTTAGCCTTTGAGCAAATGAGTTTCCTCTGGAAAACACCGATTCATTAAAACCAAAGTTGCCAGGCGGAGAAGGGTTAATTTTCATTGGAATTTTCTGGTGAGCACATCTGGGTCCAGACTGCAAAGTCTAGTTGACCGAAGAGGAGAAGGAAGCCCAGCATACTGGGTAGCATGGCATCTAGATTTCTCCTGTGATGTGACACTCCCAGTTCAAATTCCTACCCTGAGCTTGACTTGCAGGTCTGCCAGATCCCAGAGCATGCATCAGCAACTGATGTTCTGGATATGTTCTGTTTTCTCTTGTTTTTACCAAGAAAAACCTAAAAGGTTCTGGTTTTAACAATGGACAGAAAGAGAAGGAGCAGGGTGAGAGGTCTGCTGCATGTTTTCCAGGTCTCATCTAGCTCTGTTCTGGAAGGAGGACATTCTCTGTGTGTGTGCACACATGCAGACCTGTGTTACCTCTCTTCCCAAGAGACCTAGGAGGACCCATAACTAACTGGTGTGAGCTAGAGCAATGCTTTGCTCCTCTCGCTTAGTTTTAGGCTTCTTAAAAGTCATGGCAAATACCCTTGCTTCTCCCGCCTTCCCTGTCTTCAGTAGCTCACAGTGCCAAAGAGTAAGTACTTTTGATAAATCACCAGATTTTGCAGTAGGAGCAGGTTAACTGCAGGCACCTCAAGGCTTTCGGTTAGAGTTAGTGTTTAAATATAAGAAATGTCAATTGAAAGAGCAGAGTGGTTGGTTTATACTAGAGAAGTGACTTCAGCCTGGCCATGACTGGAATATTCAGAAGAGTGTGAGAAGGTCTGGTACTGTGAGCATGCAGCAGTGAGGGCTGACCCTGGGAAATGCAAGTCAATAGGCAGGGGGAAAAAATGCAGTTTTTTAATGATCCAGCAGTATTGCTAGGCTTAAAGTGATTTGCTAATTCAGGAGAAGAATACCTGATTCTGGGTAGCAAAAGCAAATGCAGTGAAGGTGTATAGACTGCCATAGAATATAACTGCGTATTACAGATTTAGGTGCTAAGGTCTGAGAGGCTGCTTGTGTGTGAACGCTCCTGTAACACAGTTCATTAGACCCCCGTGGTGTCCCCATGCTGTTTTCCCTTGATAATCTGGTGGTTGTCATACAACCTTTGTCCCCTTCCCCTGGAAATACTAATTTCATTAGATTGCTCACTTCTAGTTAAATTATACCAGCTGACTTTGAAGTACTTAATATAAAAACGTCGTGGTATGCTTGCATGATAGTTATTTGATGTAAGAAAAAAATCTCTTGTGCTCTCTCTTTAGGAATTTGGGCTTTGAGTTTCATTGGGGAGTGTTGTACGTACCCAACTGCACGGGATCAGACCCATCTCTTTTTAAAAATGTATTTCACATCTGAGATTAGAAACATTCTAGAAGACAAATCAGAAGATACAGTTGTCTGTTAAGGCTCAGATGATAATAGCGACTTGTACTAAAGGCTGTCCGTCCACATAGAAAACTGCACGGCTGCTTCTGTTTTGACTACTGTCAAAGGTCTGGCATTTTGGTAATAGTATTTTTTTCTAAATGTAATGAGTATATTGGCTTTAAATCCTGTTAGGTACAGATAATTATCATTGGTATTCTGTAAACTAGCTCTATACTAGCACTCACATTGGACTAGGCTTAATATTGTGAGTTTCAAAGATGACTTGAAAAAGCAAAATTAATTTATACCCTTTTAATGCGATTCTACCCTGTGTAGGGGGTTGTTTGTAGAAGTACCAGGAGTGCTACAACTGTCTTCCCCCTTTTACTTGCTGTGGTTCTCTGCAGGAAAACATAGAGATTCAAATCTGTTGTTCCATCCTTTGGAGACGCTGAGATATTATCGTGTTGAGGTCCATGGAAATACCTAGATAAACCAGATCATAATGCAGAGATAATGCATGTATTCCTTTTTTTTTTTTTTATGCCATCAATCAGGCCTCGGAGCTTTTTTTTTTAATCTAAAAAAGTTTAACTGTTTGAGTAATAATCACTTCCTTCATCTGTCTGGTGTGACATCCTCTAATCCTGTAGGTCTGTTTAGGCTGGATTATTTGTGGTCTTCCAGAAAAGATAGACAGGACTGGAATTACTAGTGCCAAAAATTGCCTACGATAAGGGGGGGAAATCCTTGTTTTCGAGACAAAACACATCTGGACCCTTTTCAGACACCCAGCAGCACACCACAAGGGTATAAATATCTACTTTTTCTTTTCCGGGTGATCTTTAAGGCCAGGTAGCAGTGGGCTGGGTCACTCTGTCTGGGCAGATGGGATGGGGATCCTGCCCTGCAGGTTTGCTCTGCTTTGGCATCAAACCCGACAGATTTTAGGCTGGGCTTTTGTCCTCCCAGCGGAGCTCAGCCCCAGCGCAGCCAGTCCCGGGGCCTTGCCAGTGCAGTTTGGCATCCACGCTGTTTTGCGCTCCTTGCTTCTTCACGGGTACAAGACCCCAGCATCTCCACAGCTGATGCTGCCCGCGCATCGCCCAGCCGCTTGGTGTGCATTTAGGGAGCTACATGTGGTTGGCTTTCACCATGTCCTCAATTTTGATCCCCAGGGCAGAAAAATTAGGACTTTCTAAGTTAAAGAAAAAACAAAAAGTGAAAGAAAATCTCTGGAAAGTGATGTTTCCCCATGGTAGTGATGGCTGTTCACCACCCGCTTCTGTTCAGCCATGATCCCTGGTTCAGTTCTGCTGGGTTTTTAGCCATCTTGACCTCATGTTTGCAAATATTATTGGTAATATAATGCTCTATGTACAAATGTCTGTGTGGCTCGTGTATGTTTCTGTGGTTCAAGTCAGCCACAGACTTCTGGAATTTCATTGTACTTTGGTTAAATGTTGGACTTTTAATTCTTCTACTGTATGGCTTCTTGATTTATCTTGTCCAGTGTGGACCAACTCTATTTTTGGAAATAAATAAGCATGTAAATAAAATGAATGGGTTTATGCCACTTACAAGAAAATGCTTTATTTAAAATATACACTCAGTCTTGTATGTTTTATGGTATCTCAGGGGGCAAATGAGGCTCAGGCACCAGCAGCCTTGGTGATGAGATACCATATTATGTACAAATTCATTTCCAAGTGGTTTCGGAAGAAGACTTTCCATCTCCTGAGCCAAACCGCCGTAGGACCAGCTTTGAGGAGGGAGGGGGGTTGGGGGGAAATCCAGAAAGAAACGTGTAGTTTAAGGGGAGTAAAGGAAAGCAGCACGACTTTCCTCTTAAAACAAGGCTTCTGGTTTGAGGTGTCTGGGTGCCAAAGATGCCGCTGAGTGTAGGGATGCCGTGGGGCAGCTCTCAGCTCTTGCTCAGGAGCACGTGGAGATCAGGAGCACAATGACTTTTTTTTTTTTAACTTCTCCATATAAACCAATATTTACCAGTAATCCTGTGTTTCTGTTTTTGTTTTTTGGCAGACTTTTACCAGTAAATATCGGTTTATTCCTGAAACCAGAAGCCCTAAACATACCTTTGTTTATAAGGTCAGTTGTCATTTTGTCTCTCTCGTTCCCCGCTCCCCCCCAGTACAACCGGGCAGGTGATTGAAAGGTACCAAGTTTTCTTTCTAGTTTTCCTGCTCTGCATCTCTGGGAACTGGAGCCCGCAGGACCTAGAGCCTTCTGTTGGTAACGTAGACCTGAGTTTACAAATTATTCTCTTACCATTTTAAAGCCTGCTTTTAAGGACAGGGGTGTTCCCAGCTGCCCACTATGGGAACTGGTAGAAACCCCTGCAAATGCATAAATTGCTTCACCTCACTGAAGCCTGCGGGTAGGTCTCTCACAAGCATCTTCAGGCTTGGGGCTTAGAAAACAATTTATCCAAAAATAGACACTAAAAATTGCCATGTCGGTTTTACAGTGAACAAGACTGGGGGAGGGAAGGGTGGGGAAGGAATTTGAAAATTATTTTTTTCCCCCCATTTTTTTCTAATTTACTGCTAGAAAATAAATGTGATGTGGGGAGGAAGGAGAGAATTTGAACATTGCCTGGCTAAACTGATTGTAAACTCTTCCTCCAAGTCTGGGAAAAAGGGCAAGTAAAAGATCTTATCCTTAAAAGGACATTGCTAGGTGTCTGGGACCCCAAAAGCAGCTGGCACTTTTTAATGACGGGAATTGCTTTAGGTCATTTTTTTTGAGTTTTGGTTTGTACCAAGACAATTCGACTTGGGAGTGTTAAAGTCTCCTTTTTTTCCACAAGTGTTTGCGACCCAAACACAACAGCATTATGCTAATACTCAAGAAACAGAGAAGCTGGCGAGGAATAGGAAATGAATTGACTGGATGGTCCCAGCCAGTATTTGTCTCCCAAGAAAACAAAATGAAAAAAAAAAAGTCCAACCCAGCCCTGACCCCAAAAAAACCACAGCCTCCCAAAAAAGCAAGCCAAAGAGGATCTCAAATGCCTAGTCTGTTTTTATCATACATGGTTGGCGAGAGTGTTTTTGACATAGCTGCAACCTAACTATGTCCCTTTAAGGAGCACCAGCAGCTAATTTCCTCCTACCGAACCCAAAAGCTGAGGTTTTTGCAGTTTTTGAGTGCAGATCGAAGCTTCTGCTGCCTTAGTTGGAGACCAGAATGAGGGGACCATTCCAGCTGTGCACTTTGAGCTGAAAACTACCTTTCCTCCCCTTTTGCAGCCTGGGTGGTTCTGATTGCTGGCAGTTCTGTAATACAACTTTAATCTGAGCAGTTGAGGCTGGTCCTACATTATCTTCAGACGTCTTGCGGAGGACTCCTGTTACCAGTTTGGTACTCAAAAGCTACACCCCACCATCAGAAGTCACTTTTTTTTTTTTTTCAAAGGCAGTGACAGATTACCCTCTCTAGCTCTAATGTAAAAATGATAATTGCAATGCAACTTTCTAATAAATCGTTCATATATTCATAATTCCATTGCAATCCCAAATTGGAGAAGAGATCTGTTAAAGGTATATATTAGTCTAGATTTTTTCTTATTGTAAATACTGTAATTTTATAATACTGTCAATATTTTATTAACTTAGAAATATTTAACAGAGTTTAATCTATGGTAGTTGATTTATTTATAGGTTTATGTTGCAGCCAATATTGCATTACATTCTAATGTAAGATTAACTTTCAGCATGTAAACATTGATTTAATGTATCAATGAAAAGATTAAGAGAGAAAACTCTTGCTCTTAATCTGTAATATTTATCCCCAAATCCCCAGTTTGGAATTATCTAATGAAATACTAGGAGGTTTCAAGAGTTCATGAATCTTAACAACTGCAGTTGGATTTGAAAACTTGAATTTTGAAACGTACCTGGCTTTTTCACCCTGTGAACAAGTTTGCTTCAATATCTAATCTATATATTACGGAAGTCTTTATTTTGAGCAAAGGGACACTGTCAGATCAATTTTAGATTCTTGGCGGAGGAGGGGGGGGAAGAAAAAGCAAAACTCACTCCCAGTGCATGTGTGTTAATTCCTTTTTAATCGCAAGGGGAAAAAGATACTTTGCTTGTTGGTTTGGGTATTTGG